AGGAGGAATACTTTAATAATATGGGAGTCCAACAATGACAGTTTGAAAAATTTAGATTGGTTAATAGAAATCCTAAAAGAGTGAAGTGTGCGTAGGTATTGAATAAAGCTGCTTACCTTGAATGCTTGTTTCAACGCTTTTAATAACCATTAATCTATCAAGCAATGAGAGAGAGATGCGTTTGGAATAGATGTTTTTTTGCCCGTTTCAGCCAGTTTCTCGCCAAGAATAGGGTCACCTTGCTTTCAGAGGGCTAAAGAAAAACACAGACACTTTATTATGACTATAAGGCCTACTGAGGCGACTTGTTGGCCATTCATCTCACAGTCTTACCTTATGATTATATTTTATTCTAAATTGTATAAAAACAAAACAATCTCCTGAGATGCGTACTTGAACTTGAAGATTTACAGCAAACCACCGAGCTGTAAGTTAAATATTAACCGTTATGTATGTTATCATGCGGAAAGATTAGGCTATAGATTATTATTTAATGTATAGACTATGCTATGTAAACAGACTGTAAGATGTTCCGGTCTCTACAGCTTTTCCTGTCAATCAGGTTCCGCGAGAACGTTTCGTTTATTAAAAAATATGAAGTAACCTTGACTCACCACTTAATTCGATTCTGACAGGGTTTCAGCACGTGTTCTCTCTCTAGTGCCAGTGACTCGTCTGATTTTATGAGTTGTGTTGGTGTAGCGGAGAGATTCCACAGGGTTGTGTTGCTGTACGTCTGCTGGCACTGAATGGGCATCTGGAAACTCGAGCGGTGCTAAATATAAAAGTTCACCAGCTCGTCGTTAAGGAAATTAGGTGGGACGCTTTGCGTACGGCCTGCTTGTGTTTGGGGAGGGTGGTCTGACGTTTGGGGGATCAAAACAACAACCTTCACTCCAGAAGTTTATCAGCTAGGCCAACTCAGTAAACCCCTGACGCAATCTGACATGACATGACGTGTCAGTGTAAATACTTTACCTTAACACACGTAACACACAAAAAAAGTTAATGTGATTTTGCCTATTTATTAAGCATTTAATGTGAGAACCAAATGTTGTTGTTTTTTTGTTGTTGTTGTTTTTAAATCTATTAGTAATTAGTTAAGATAGTAGAATTATCATTTTCCGAATCCATCAAAAGACACTTCAGCGTGCGCAGACAACAAATAACGGGTGTTTTGGCGTTGTGTACTAACAGGCCTGTACACAAATAATTCATCTTAAACACCAATAAAGTGCTTAAAATTACAGAAATAAAATGAATATATATGGAATATCTAATGAGTTCGTATTACCAAGCAATCATAAAGCGTGACAAGTCATCAAAAATCCAATAGATATGTATAGGCTTAAATGATTATACACTGTAGATACATATTAAACATTCCTATCCTATAGTTCATATAATCCTCAAATTGATTTCTACATCACTAAATTTTCCCAGTCTGATTTATTTGATTACTGCGCCCTCTTCAGGACATTGAGTGTAGCGTGTTTAACCTAAACTCAAAATAGAGGAGGAATACTTTAATAATATGGGAGTCCAACAATGACAGTTTGAAAAATTTAGATTGGTTAATAGAAATCCTAAAAGAGTGAAGTGTGCGTAGGTATTGAATAAAGCTGCTTACCTTGAATGCTTGTTTCAACGCTTTTAATAACCATTAATCTATCAAGCAATGAGAGAGAGATGCGTTTGGAATAGATGTTTTTTTGCCCGTTTCAGCCAGTTTCTCGCCAAGAATAGGGTCACCTTGCTTTCAGAGGGCTAAAGAAAAACACAGACACTTTATTATGACTATAAGGCTGTACACAAATAATTCATCTTAAACACCAATAAAGTGCTTAAACTTACAGAAATAAAATGAATATATATGGAATATCTAATGAGTTCGTATTACCAAGCAATCATAAAGCATGACAAGTGACAAGTCATCAAAAATCCAATAGATATGTATAGGCTTAAATGATTATACACTGTAGATACATATTAAACATTCCTATCCTATAGTTCATATAATCCTCAAATTGATTTCTACATCACTAAATTTTCCCAGTCTGATTTATTTGATTACTGCGCCCTCTTCAGGACATTGAGTGTAGCGTGTTTAACCTAAACTCAAAATAGAGGAGGAATACTTTAATAATATGGGAGTCCAACAATGACAGTTTGAAAAATTTAGATTGGTTAATAGAAATCCTAAAAGAGTGAAGTGTGCGTAGGTATTGAATAAAGCTGCTTACCTTGAATGCTTGTTTCAACGCTTTTAATAACCATTAATCTATCAAGCAATGAGAGAGAGATGCGTTTGGAATAGATGTTTTCTTGCCCGTTTCAGCCAGTTTCTCGCCAAGAATAGGGTCACCTTGCTTTCAGAGGGCTAAAGAAAAACACAGACACTTTATTATGACTATAAGGCCTACTGAGGCGACTTGTTGGCCATTCATCTCACAGTCTTACCTTATGATTATATTTTATTCTAAATTGTATAAAAACAAAACAATCTCCTGAGATGCGTACTTGAACTTGAAGATTTACAACAAACCACCGAGCTGTAAGTTAAATATTAACCGTTATGTATGTTATCATGCGGAAAGATTAGGCTATAGATTATTATTTAATGTATAGACTATGCTATGTAAACAGACTGTAAGATGTTCCGGTCTCTACAGCTTTTCCTGTCAATCAGGTTCCGCGAGAACGTTTCGTTTATTAAAAAATATGAAGTAACCTTGACTCACCACTTAATTCGATTCTGACAGGGTTTCAGCACGTGTTCTCTCTCTAGTGCCAGTGACTCGTCTGATTTTATGAGTTGTGTTGGTGTAGCGGAGAGATTCCACAGGGTTGTGTTGCTGTACGTCTGCTGGCACTGAATGGGCATCTGGAAACTCGAGCGGTGCTAAATATAAAAGTTCACCAGCTCGTCGTTAAGGAAATTAGGTGGGACGCTTTGCGTACGGCCTGCTTGTGTTTGGGGAGGGTGGTCTGACGTTTGGGGGATCAAAACAACAACCTTCACTCCAGAAGTTTATCAGCTAGGCCAACTCAGTAAACCCCTGACGCAATCTGACATGACATGACGTGTCAGTGTAAATACTTTACCTTAACACACGTAACACACAAAAAAAGTTAATGTGATTTTGCCTATTTATTAAGCATTTAATGTGAGAACCAAATGTTGTTGTTTTTTTGTTGTTGTTGTTTTTAAATCTATTAGTAATTAGTTAAGATAGTAGAATTATCATTTTCCATTAGGGAATATTTTGCTAACCTTGCTGTCCAATGAAACGCCCTTGTGCTCAAGACTAAGTAAACTGACATTGAACGTCAGTGCCTTGAAAAGAAAACAGAGAAGCTGTGTGATAAACCATAGCAAAATAAAGCAGTTTCACCACATAAACACAATTTAGCAACTAAACTTTAAAGCAGTGCACATTTGAAAACTTCTACAATTGCAAAGTCATACTTTGGTTTAGACATTTTGACTTTTTTTCTGAAGATTACAATCAATAAGACTTTATCTTCAGTGATGTCACACATTGTGAGGTGTTAGCAAAATATGCACAATATGTATTAGGTATATACTGTACAAACAAAATCATTATCAACATTATCAAATACTGCAGCTTGTAAATTTGTACAGGTATATCCTCTATAGAACAGACTTTAGCATCTTCGAAAGGCACCTGCCATTAATTTACTCTAAGCTCATTTGTCAGTAAAATTCTGTGGAAATTCAAGCAGAACTATTTTGAATGTCAACTCTCTTTTGTGTTCCCTGTGATAGCACTGCATATTGCAAAATTATAAAAACTATTCACATTTTTACTGAATACTGACACTTATTCTTAATAAATGTGAGCAGAGCTCCTTTCCTTATCATTTCAAACAAAAGCTGTTGTAAGTTGTTAGAACACTGTTGGCATCTGCAGCTGTCTAAGGAAGAAGCAAAATGCAAATGTTATTATAATTGAGTAAAAACAATCCCGTTTCCATAGCACTGCATTTAGCTAACTTGTTTATTCATTTTCAGGAGCACTAACCACAACCATGAAGGATCAGGTCTGGATCTCAGTAATGTCCTTGACTATTGGCGTATGGCCCCTGAAATTAACTCATCACTACAACTAGTTTACTTTTAATGCATCATGTTCATTCCTTAAATCTAACTAAAAATATAAAGATGATTTCTGAGAATTTTGACATTAGGAAAGCAAGCCTGTGCTCATTTGATATGGCAAGTCATTTCAACATGAATTCCTCAAGATGAACTAGTAACTGTTATCGTTACTTATTTTTTAAATCGTTACTAAATGATGTATCTTTTTTACCAGTAACTATTCAGTAGATACTACAAGATATTCAGTACTTATTTTCTAGGGCTCCGTTACTTATTTTTAAAATCGTTACTAAATGATGTATCTTTTTTTACCAGTAACTATTCAGTAGATACTACAAGATATTCAGTACTTATTTTCTAGGGCTTACTATTCCAATAGTTAGAAACAGTTCTTAACTTGACCAGACTATAAAGTAGTCATTCTGAGTAGTCATTAAGTAAAAAAAGTAAGATAGGCCTATATAGTTGCGTCTCATTAACAGGTATCTACTAAATGTGGTAAAATTGAAATAGGTCCCAGTATTAATTGGAATACATTCTAATCAAAAGTGAATTTTTGATACCTGAACACAGATCTCCATAGAATTCAATGGGGACAAAAGCAATTCATTAATAATAAATAAACAGTTACTGTCAAGGAGCAAGGAGTTGACTGGAATAGAAGGAAATGAATAGATACTATTGGATTATTTCTAGTACAAGTACTAAAAAGCATAAAATAGGCAATAGTTAAGGGAATAAATGTTAAAACGGCATGCCACGTGATTATTAGGTGATCTTATAGCAACTGGATGCCGCTCCTCTGAATCTGACTTCTCAAATTGCGTGTTGAGTTGCAAGCACAATGATTCACAGTCTATCCTTAACTCTCCTAAACGTCGAAGTCTGCTGCAAGAAACGGTCTGTTTTAGTGACGTGGTATTATTTTAAAACTTTTAACGCATTCCTTTAAATCAATTGAACGCCGGAGGATTGTGTTTAAATGTATGTTTTTAGGAAAATCAATTGAAGAGCGCAAATGCGACGTGTTTTGGATTTAAAATAAGAAGAACTGGGACTGTTATGGCCCAGTAATGTTTATGAAACTGTGATAATAAGAGAAACGTGGGACACGCTATTTCGAGGAAGCGATTTATAATACATCGGTAACTGTGTGAACTGTGAAAATGGCACTGGGAATGATTTCACTTTTGGCTCTCTGCATGTTTTATATTCAAGGTAAGTTATAACACGCTACTGTGAAATTATTTAAGAAGATAAAACGATTTAGAGGACATTATATATTTAGAGTAAAATTATCGAGTGTAACATTAACGTACAGTCATCAGATGATTCTTATTTGTCATTTTATAAGCTGCATTAATAACATCTCTAGTTAAGTGAACTATTACTAACTATTAATATGCAGCGATTTATACATTTATTGAGGCAAAAGACATCACCCAGTGGTCACACAGTGTGACCAAAAAGTTGGTATACACTGGGTGACCACTGCCATACCAGTTCATTGCTTAATGCAACTGAATTATAATAATCTTACATCTCTTTTTCTTGCTTGTTAAACATTCTGTACATCTATTTGTCTCAATATGTCTAATTGTAGTGCCACAGTGCCAAACTGGATGTGCTGAAGTAGACTCCATGACAGAAGCTGTGGCTGGCAAAGGCTTTCTGTTGGGTTGCATTTCTTGCAAAAGAAGAGAAGAAGTGCCTGGTTCTGCTATTGTTGATTGGCACTACAAAGCAGCTGGATCTGAGGAGTTTATCCATGTTAGTTGAGTGATTCTTTGGATCGGAAAGCATGTTGTCAGGTTGTTTGATCAGCTTGATGCATATATGACTTTTCACACTTGTAATTGTTGAAAAGGCTTTTAAAGACTGATTTTATTCTAGTAATATATCTATCCCTCTCAGATTTTTCAGTATGAATACAATAACCCCATCATTCTTCATGAAAATTTTGAGGGAAGATTAGAGTGGAAAGGAACTATGGGTACAAAGGATGCGCAAATTGGTTCCGTCTTTATTCACAATGTCACATATAATGACACTGGGACTTACCTCTGTACCTTCCACCGTACGCTGTACCTTCCTCTGAATGAGGAACATGTGGTAATAAGTAAAGAGGTGGAACTCACAGTTGTGGAAAATGGTGAGATCCATTTTAAGACCCTTTTAGAAGTGATAAATTTGCATTTCATTATGTAATCTGAATATCTGAATTTGTTACTCCCCAAGCAAACCCTGAGCTGACGGCAGTGATTTCTGAGATCATGATGTATGTGTTGATCGCAGTTCTGCAGCTGTGGATGATTGGAGTGCTGATTTACTGCTATAGGAAGATCTACGCTGAGAACGAAGCTCGAGAGGCCAGAAAAGCTGCACGCTCTCAAAGCAAGTAAGGCTCACTTTTGTGTTGTTTGATTCACACAACACATTAAACGTTACTTTATACCTTTTTGATTCAAAATGTCCTGTTTTCATCTTGTGTTTTTACAGGCTCGTCGAGTTGAAAGACCCTTGTGATGGCATTTATTTGGAATAACTACAGTTTTGGTTAGTAGGCTTAATATTTTCAGTGAATAGAGACTAGGATTACTAAATTATTGCTAATATATTTGATATTATAGGAATAGTTCATTCAAAAATGAAAATTTGCTGAAAACCTACCCTCAGGCCATCAAAGATGTAGATACATTTGTTTCTTCATCTGAACAGATTTGGAGAAATTTTGCATTACATCACTTGCTCACCAATGGATCCTCTGCAGTGAATGGGTGCCGTCAGAATGAGAGTCTAAACAGCTGATAAAAACATCACAATAATCCACAAGTAATCCACACAACTCCAGTCCATCAGTTAACATCTTGTGAAGTGAAATCTGCAAATTAGTAAGAAACAAGTCCATCATTAAGACTTTAAACTGTCGCTTCCGGCCAAAATACGAGTCCATAATCCATAATAACGCTTCCTACAGTGAAAAAGTCCATTCCCTGTTGCCCTCTCACATCAAAATCCAGCAACTGTTTTGGACTGTTTTTCACTTGTAAACAGTGCTTAATCTTTGCATATTTTTCTCCTGATTCAGATGAGACAGCTTTTTTACTGGAGGAAGAAATATTATAGATGGAAGACTTGTATTTTAGCCAGCAGCACCGGTTTAAAGATACAAATTTCCCAATGATGGATTTATTACAATCATCAAGGTATGTTGATTACTTGTGGATTATTGTGATGTTTTTATCAGCTGTTTAGACTCTCATTCTGACGGCACCCATTCACTGCAGAGGATCCACTGGTGAGCAAGTGATGTAATGCTAAATTTCTCCAAATCTGTTTTAATGAAGAAACAAACTCATCTACATCCTTGATGACTAGATGGTGAGTACATTTTCAGCAATTTTTCATTTTTGGGTAAACTATTCGTGTTAGAAGGAGGACTAGTCCAAAATAAACCCCTGCAGCTAATATAAACTCCTGAATATTTCTAGTGACATTTCTAAAGTAGTATAGCATTGAATTGACTAAGCTAAAGCAGAATGCAGAATGATTAAGTCACATAGCAATAAAAACAAATACAATATTGTATTAATAAGACATTATATGCAAAGTTGAATCAGGAATATAAAGAGTCTGAATAAAGACATTTTAAAGGGATAGTTCACCCAAAAATGAAAATTCTGTCATTAATTACTCATGTTGTTCCAAACCTGTAAGACCTTCTTCATCTTCAGAACACAAATTAAGATATTTTTGATGAAATACGAGAGCTCTCCTCAGTGTCACCCTGGTGCCATTTTGGAGAGTATCACGATGCAGAACACATTGAAAAATTGTAGAATAAAGTAGTTATTTTTGTTTTCTATGCGCACAAAAAGTATTCTTGTAGCTTCATGAAATTACGGTTGAACCACTGATGTCACATGGACTATTTTAACAATGTCCTTGCTACGTTTCTGGGTCTGGGAACCTTTCAGTTACATTGCTGTCTATGCAGGGTCAGAAAGCTCTCAGATTTCATCAAAAATATCTTAATTTGTGTTTCAAAGATGAACGAAGGTCTTACAGGTTTGGAACGACATGAGGGTTAGTAATTAATGACAGAATTTTCATTTTTGGGTGAACTATCCCTTTAACTGTGAATTACAACAGTCTGAAGAAACTAAAATGGTTTGTGGAAAAGACAAAAACATCTGGTTTCATGATTTGCTTGTTTATTGACTGGTGATAAAAAGATATGTCGACAAAGACCAATTTTTTCAAGATATTGGACAAGTGTTTATTATCTTCAGCTAGCAAGCAAGATTTTGGTTGCACCTGATTTTGTGACAGTTTGTCTTTTTGGAAGGAAAAAAGTAGGGGAAACAACATTCAAATGATGGCAAGTTAAAATGTTTAAACAAAATTTGTTTGCTGTTATTAAAAAATGGAAGTTCCTTGATTTCGTTATGTATCCTGTATACGAAGTAGACAAGCAAATAGAAACATTAAATGGCTTTTCACTGATGCTCCAGTTCTTCTGTCAAGCAAGGCTCAATGAACTTGAGAGCTTTGTATAAGCCATCTTTCCCTCTAGTGCCAGCAGATTTAATCGGGCCCATTAATAATTCTCTCATCTTGATTGTTGAGGTTTTCTCAGCACGGATGTTACTGTAATCCTCATCTGTGATCACTCTCATCTGAAGAAGTTCATCTAGGATGCCGTCTACGTTATGCACTCGTTTTATCAGCGTCGCCCGATTCCTATCGATGAAGTGCTCTATGATAGAGATTGGAACAAGCATGTGGTTTGATTGTGAGGATGTTAATCAGTGCTAATGTATTGTGATCTTTTTATTGGGTTTTAAATGAACGCTCTCATTTCGTCTTCCAAACAGTGAAGAGATTTGAAACTTTTTTTCCAAATACAGTAAATGTCGTTCAAAAACAGTTACACTTACTCACCAGTAGATGAAGCGCTTGGGCCTGGGGCTGGTGAAGGAACATGTGGAGCTGCTGAAAAACAAGATTAAGTTAATGTTGCCCTTACAGTAAATCTCCACGTTATTTTGTTTTGGAGGTATGTTTTATCTACAGTTTTCTAATCCAGTACACGCACTACTTGCATGCTCTATTTTTTTGGTAATGTATACTATGCTCTATTTAATTATGTGAGAATTATGTGAGGATGTTAATCAGTGCTACTGTATTGTGATCTTTTTATTGGGTTTTAAATGAACGCACTGTTCACCAAACAGTGAAGTGATTTGAAACTTTTTTTCCAAATAAATGCCGTTCAAAAACAGTTACACTTACTCACCAGTAGATGGAGCGCTTGGGCCTGGTGAAAAACAAGATTAAGTTAATGTTGCCCTTACAGTAAATCTCCACGTTGCACATTCAAACACATGTGCACAGAAAACTATATATATGGAGTAGGTTATTAATTAAGAATACAGCTAATTATTATTACTACTATTACCGATTAATCTAACTCGCCTTCCCCTGTGCTTAAAATTATTGATCACCTTTTAAAACGATTGCAATCAAATGGCTAGCCTATTTACACAGACGTAAAAGGAAACTGAAAGTGAGTCAACTCAGGAGTACAATTAGAAATAGGAATCGAAAAGAATTCTGATTTAGCCTAGTACGTTGAGGAATAATTATTTGCAAAAAAAAAAAAGCATTTCACATTAAAATCCTTTACGATTTACGAACTGGTTCTCGGTTCCCAACTATTTGCAATCATTAAAACGTAACATAACTTCTTTTTTTTTTTTTTTTTAATACAACAATTAACCCAGCTAAACACCATTCACTAGAGCGAAAGAGAACTTTTACCTAATACTTTATTCTTTGAGAATTTAGTTTTGTATTTGCATTCTTTTATAATAGTTTCCTTACATTGTCCTGTGTTTTTGATGAGATCCTGCGCTGGTTCATTACAGCCAATAGCCTGTAAAATCTCGATTGTTACAGGAACAGCACCAGTCGTCGTGAAAGCGGTCACCATTAAATTGGCGAGATCTATAGAATCCACAACCTTTTCGACTGCAGCTCGTCGTACGCGCGGCTCTGTCTTCCGGTCGCACAATTTGCTTTTAAACTTTCTCTGATCTTCCGCACCAAGATCATCAAAAATATCTTGCAGGTGATCCTTATTAGATTTCGCCATAGTTCCTTAGTTCGTTAAAAGTGTCGTGCCTCTTCTACAAGCTGTTGAGGAGGAGGAGGAACTGCTGCCAAACACAGCTCCTATGCGTACAGTAGGCCTAGGTGTGTCTTTAGACTTGCTCTAAACATTTCCCGCCCTATATAGGCCACTTCCTTGTAAATAGGATACAAGAAAGTGTAGGCTACTTTGGTGTTCAGTTGCTTTTCTATAAAGAATTAGAGGCACAACCCACGTTATTTTGTTTTGGAGGTATGTTTTATCTACAGTTTTCTAATCCAGTACACGCACTACTTGCATGCTCTATTTTTTTGGTAATGTATACTATGCTCTATTTAATTATGTGACTTCACTAGTATAGAAATGATCAGTATAGAAGCTGCAGTCCCTGTTAATTTGAAGGATGTCATCAACTATATATAGCACTCCGGCATCCTGACTCAACTTGTAATTGTAGGCAGGCCCGGATTAAGAACACATAGGGCCCTGGGGCTATAGCAAACCCAAGGGCCCCCTTCATAGTAGCCTATCTGCCACAACGTTTTCTACAACAGGAATAATTCTGGGTTTTTTGTATTATTTTTTTATCAAATCTCCAACACACAGAGATACAATGTTTATGCACATAAATATTCCAGGCTACAACACATTAAAATAATAAATACATTAACACCAGATATATGAATTCAAAGCAACAACTTTTGAGCATATACAGCTCCCTTAAGGAGTTTAGTTTAAATAGTTTTATTATTAGAAGGTCTTTTTTCTGGCCCTAGAAGAGGAGAATCATCAGGGCTGGACTGGTGTTTAAATTCAGCCCATCTGGCCCATACAGTCCCCCATAAATGTTTCACTTTTAAATGGTATAGTGTATAATCTTACAAAACCTTTTTATTTCAGATAAATGCAGATCTTTGGATCGTTTTATTCATTAAAATAATCCTGAAAAAAATGGTACTCAACTGTTTTATGTACTCAAATTTTCTAAACTAAACTATACAGGGAACCCTATTGTTCAGGTTAAAAGTAACAATTGATTTGTATAGTTCATATTATGTAAGAACACTGGTTCAGACGACTGGTTCATATAGCCTAATGTAAGTTCATATTAGACCATTTTTTATAATAACGTTATATCTATACATTTTTATTGATTATAATAAAAATAGCAATTATGAGTAAATATACAGCCTAAATGTAATGTTTGCAAAATTCTCCTCTCTAGTGTACATTTTTCTCGCTAGTTTATGGACATTGAATGGCTTTTCTGAGGTTATGTGACAGTGTTTTCAAGCTGCTGTCTTTCCGCGGTTGAAAGACTCATTGAGTGATTACATGAGACACTATACATTAAGTTGTAGTGTATCTTTCAACATGAATCTGATGTGCATTCAATGTTTATTTCATGCTAATTATATAATGCACTCCTGCCTCGCTTGAACTGGCATAGCGGCAGCGCGCATGTTAACCGTCACGCCAATAAAGAGCGCCAAAACTGTATTTGTCGTTTGAAATTC